GCTCGACAAGACGACGAACTGGTCAAGCACGATCAGCTCGCCAGTTTGCGAGCTGGACGGGTCAGTTCAGCTCGCCAGCAGACAAGCTGGACGGGTCAGTTCAGCTCGCCAGCAGACAAGCTGGACGGGTCAGTTCAGCTTGCCAACAGGCGAGCTGGACGGGTCAGTTCAGCTCGCCAACAGGCAAGCTAGCTTGCCTGTTGGCGAGCTGGATGGTTAATTCAGATTGCCAACTGGCGAGCTGGTTAATCACGGCCAGCTCGCTAGCTGGCGAGCTGGTCAGTTGTTCGGTTTCGATCGTTTCTCGTTTTCTCGACCCGAGATCCTTTCGGAGAATATAAGGAGAAGTAATCGTAGACATTGATTTCGAGGTTACCGTGTTTGACCCCAACAAACAAGGAGGTCTTTTTTTGATTATTTCATATGTGGGAACCGAAATTCGCACTGTAAATTTTCTATCAAATATGGAAACTTAGGGAAAACCCTAATTTTCCTGAGGTCTTGGATCTCTGCGGAAACACACTTAAAACGGAAAAGATAAGAGAATACAGATGAAGAATTTGCGCAAAGGCTATTATTGATAAAGAGATTGAAAAGCTGTTACAAGGAGAATCGCGGAACTTAGACGACAAAACGTTCTAAGGATCCGACTTGCTAGTCTAGCCACCTAAGTCCTAAATTCGCCTAAGCTAACAGCTGTTTTTCTAGGTCTCAAAAATCTCTGCCTCCTCTTGACCTCGTTCTTATGCTTATATATTCCTTCTCTAGGCGGTTGGTCTTTCCTTTTCTGCTGCAATTCACACTTATCGAAAATCTTCTATTTTCCTCGATCTTTCCATTTTTCTTCAGAAAACTTCCATTTATTTTCAATCTTGACATTTATCTATTCCTGCGGATAATAGGCAAACCGTCATTGTATCTTTGGGCTGGATCCTGTCTAAAGTTGCAAGTGGGCTTTTATCGCGTTTTAGGATCTTTTGAGCCGTTTTACGACTTAGCCGTTTTTCGACTTTAGACAAGATCATTTCCTAATACGACGAATTTTTAAGTTAAATCTCGAATTAATCGTATAGTTTGGGAATGTTCGATGTTTCGTTTAACCATTGCCGTTTTATACGATTTACTCGAGGTTTTACTAAAAGTGCGTGTTTTACATTTTTTATCGTAAGACTCAAACGGTAAGTCGGATTGAGATGAAACGAAAGACGTTCCGATCACAGTTAAGAGTACAATCGAGTCGAGGGGCACAGATGGTTGAATTCAGCTCGCCCATTGGCGAGCTGGACAGATGTGCTCAGCTCACCAACGGGAGAGTTGGACAGGTGTGTGTAGCTCGCCCATGGGCGAGCTGGACAGATGAGTTCAGCTCGCCCATGGGAATGCTGATCATATGTGTGGTCAGCTCCCCCATAGGCGAGCTGGACGGTTGTTCGATTTTGGTTCTTTTCTTTTTTTTCTCGGTCCGAGATTCTTTCGGAGAATGTAAGAAGAAGTAATCGTAGACGTTGATTTCGAGATGACTGTTTTGACCCCAACATCATACTTAGATACGAGTTTTCCGTAACTTCGTATCTCCGTAGGAAGTCTATAGTTTCTCGTATCTCCCAATGGATAAAGGTACAGATACCTGAATAGATACCCTCATTTCACCTTCCTCATTAAGCCATTGTAGTCGATATGGTTAGGATGTTTCTAAGTTGTCAAGCCAAGCGTCTTTACCATTGTCTCACTAGCAACATTGACACAACTTCCAGCATCAATGATCAGACTACAGACATGTCCTTGCACCATACAGCGTGTGTAGAAAAAGTGCTCTCTTTGTTCTAGCTCTTCAGTTTTGTTTTGCATACTGAGAGTTCTTCTTGCAACCAACAATCTACCACGGACTGGTTCTTCTTCATACTCTTTGTCTGAAAGCTCTCGAACATCCACAGGTTTCTCATCTTCAGATTCAAACTCTCCATTATCCATAAGAATCATAACTCTCTTGTTGGTACATTCATTGGCATAGTGCCCACTCCCTTGACATTTAAAACATTTAACATCTCTGGCACGCGAGTTTGTAGCCTCCACTTTACTCTTGTCTTTAATGTAGATGCTACTAGACTTAGGCTCTTCCTTTGGCTGTGGCTTACTCTCCTTTTGATAACTTGGTTTGTCATCCTTAGAGGTCTGGTATCGACTAGAACCATAACTGCTACGCGCATGACTTCTTCTTCTAACTTGCTGCTCCACAAGATAGCTTTGTGTAGCATCCCCTCTATCTCTAAGTAGTGTTGCATCTCTACTTTGTCTTGTATCTCACGGTTGGGTCCACCAAGAAACCGTGCCATAGTAGCTTCACTGTCCTCAGATACAAAAGCTCTCAACATCAGCAGTTCCATCTCTTGAAAATATTCCTCTACAGTCCGTGATCCTTGTGTGAGCAGTCTCAGCTTTTGATGAAGATCACGATGATAATTACTTGACACAAATGTCTTGCGCATCATAGCTTTCATCTCTTCCCATGTCTCAATAGGGAATTCACCATTGCACCTCTTGTTTGTAACAACTGATCCCACCAGCTCAAAGCATAGTCATTGAACTCAGTAGCATCAAGTTGAACCTTCTTAATCTCTGAGTAATATTGACAGTTGAAGACAAGTTCTATCTTCTTTTCCTACTCAAGATATGCATCTGGATCAGCTTTGCCATGGAAAGGATGGATTTTGAGCTTTAATCCAGATAGCTAACTGTGTCTGTGTCTACGGCCCTCATGATCATGTCGAGATCTTCTACTGCTATGTCTCGAACCGGAGCTATGATTACTTCTCTCGTAGAAAGAATCAGTCTCTTCTGATCCAGCATGCCCACGCTTATCACGTCGGTTCCTTCTTGGCTCATGTCTCTGACCAGTTGTTTGCCCCTGTTCATCATTCGAACTCTTATCATATTTCTCTTCTGGCAACTTCACCATAGCATCCATAACAGTTTTAGTGATTGCTTCTTGTAACATCTTGTTCCTTCTCATAAAAGTTTCATCATCCTCTTCGGATCCCATTGCTTCTTGATACACAAAAGACTTGAACCAGTAAGTAGTTCAAAGAAGTCGAAACACTAAAGGATTCAAATAAGGAAACAAAGGATTCAAACAAAGCGGAAATCGATACTTGAGCAACATGTGACGTTTTGAACTTTTCCCACTTTTTAAAATCGAAACAAAACAGATCAGATTCAACAGATGATGAATTGTAATTCAGAAGACACTGATCTATGCTATTAAGAGCAGATCGAAACATACAAATACTAGAAACATTCGGATCTAGCAAACCAGTAATGTAATCAACAATAATATGAAGGGTTTGGTTTAAAACTTCATCGAAATTCTTAGATCTATCAATATTGAACCACGAAACTGTTGCGGTCAAAATCGGTCATGACGGAATCAATGGCTAATAGTCCCGGAAAAAGCATACAAGAAACTGTAGACTTTCTACGGAGATATGTTGAGGTCTGCACTTAGAAACTTAGGCTTTATTCTCGACAAGTTCGGTTTCTATGACTGGCATTCAATTACTAGACGAACTCGCCCAGGCAGTTCGATCTCTTGTCCAGCTCTATCAATTGAACTACGTTCGGCTTGATCCTCGAAAGGTGTACGTAGGCAGCCTTTCATAAGGTTCAGTCTGAAATCATCAAAACCTTTTTTCTTATCATTTTCATCTTTTGTAATCGAGCTGCGACTCAACTAGGTTTAGGTTTTTATGTTGCTAGAACTAGGTAACTCTCTGACAGCCCCTGCGGCCAAAGCCTTTATAATCTCTTGTAACGATTGCAACGCTCTTACGCGAATTTGAAATAAGATTTACTTTCTTTATAAATTCGTTTTATCATGTTCTTCATATTTTCCGCATTTATTTGGTTTTTTGTCCTTGGCTCTTGCAGAGATCCGGGTCCTCTGAAAAATTAGGGTTTTCCTAAGTTTCCTTATTTTACGGAAATCGACAGTGCAAATTTTGGTTCCCACAGAAACAATAGATCTACCAATCCTGACGATGAAAACAATCAGATCGAGTGAGGAAAGACACACAATAACCGAATGATCAATGGTATGAAAAGATAAGAAGAAGATCGTATGAACACACAAAATAGAAATCGTAAACTTCCCTTTCCAGAGTGCTCTGATACCACTTAATACACTCCTAGGATGCTTCTCTGGATGGATATGAATAGATCCTTGCATAAACGAATCAAAGACTCAAGTTTATCAAGGCTGTGGATCGATTGGTGACACAAGAGGCTGCGGAAAGGCTCCTTGATACTCCTAGGGTTAGATCAGATATGACACACCTCTCTGAAAACCTTAAATGTTGGATATTACACACCAACAGACTGGATATTATGCACCAGACACTCGTTTACTCTCGACAAGCAAAGGAGAAAGAAAACACAATGGTTTTTGATAAAAGAAGACTTGATTGATACTAGGGTTGCCGTCACAAACATATATACAGTGAAAGCTTGGAACAGGCTCCAAGCATTTCAAAACCAAAGGAACACGCTCCTCTAGTTTATGCAGAAATAAAGATAAAACCTTAAAGAAATAACATAAGGTTGGTCCGAGAGTATCATCTAGGTGATGTGTTAGCTAGACTAAGGCCTCGTTAAAAATCTTTCTTTGCAAAACTCATTGGGACAAAAACAAACATAGGAAAAGAGCACACATAGCTAGCTAGCCTAGATAATACTCAGCTTGATGGTGAAATGGTTTGAATGATGATAAGTGTGTTTTGAAGTATCAAGCTTCCTCCAAGACGTTCTTCATTCTCCAAAGACTTCTGGATCATTCCTCCAATAGCTTCCTTGAGTTTCTTGGTTCTGGATCTAGTAGTCATGGGACCTCTAGGAATGGTTAAGGCATCATCTTCTTCAGCTGGTTTGTCTTTAAGTGCTTCATCTCTATCTCCATCAGCTATCTGGTCCATGATCATATCAAGAGAAGACTGTCTTTACTACTCTACTTACGTGTTCATCATCAGAGTTATGTTGTCTCCTTCAAGTAGAATCCTTCCTGCAAATACACATTTACAAACGGGTTATTGATCCACAAGCAGACAAAGCAAATAAAAGACTTGTTACCAAAAGAGTGAGTGCTCACCAAGTGGTTTCCCTGTGTTCTTCTTGATTCTCACTTCCTCAGCTTCATCCAACACTATGTTCATGTAATCGTCAAAACCCTGCAAAAAGGAGAGGAATAAATCAGTGAGAATGCCATCATCACAAACCTCAAATTAACATAGACATACAAAAAACGTCAACCCTAACCCAAAAGTATAGTAATGCAAATTGAAATCCAAGGTCAAGTATGCAACTCCAAGTTTTTAACGAAGGAGACTGATACGATCACAAATCTCACGTTTCTCTGAATCAGCAGAGAGTCAGCATGAACCTTAACTCGAAAAAAGTAAAAGTATAGCATAGCAATACAAATTGAAACAAAGGAACGTCCAAAATCAAGTAAGCAACGGATGACTGATCTCCGAGAAACTTCAACATAAACTCAAAGAAGAATAAAAGTATCTTCACGCAGATTGGAACAAAGAACATACAAAGTCAAGAAGACAGCCCCAAGTTATAAACAAATGAGAATGACCCATTTATACATCTCTGAATGAGCACAGAGTCGATAAGAAAAGTATCTTCACGCAGATTGGAACAAAGAACATACAAAGTCAAGAAGACAGCCCCAAGTTATAAACAAATGAGAATGACCCATTTATACATCTCTGAATGAGCACAGAGTCGATAAGAAAAGCTTCAATATTTAAGTCTAAGAAAAGCTAAGTTGAAAAGAATCAAAGGAAACAAACAAAAACTGAAACAAGATCCAAAGTCAAAGTGGGCAGCACCGCAGAAACGATTGACAATGACACAATCATGCATCTCATCACAACATAGTCAACCTTAAAGAAGAGCTTCAATCATAACACGAGAAGAAGAAAAGTGTAGCAGTACAAAAGTCAGGATGGATAAAGCGTGGAATATCCCTAAGAATCAAAACTAGCTTTGTCTTAACAATCAAATATATAATAACTTACAGTAAATCTTCCTTCAATTCTCAAATCTTTCTGCTCAAAAAGCCAAATCTAGATACTAGCATTCTGCATCATATAAACAAGACGAATCAAGCTAAACCCAGGAAAATCCATGGATAACTAAAGTTGCAAGAACACACAAATTATAAGAAATTTTTTTTTTTGTTAGATTTAGAAACTCTCTCAAAACTAAACTTCTCAATATGTTTCTCTTGAGGGATGCAAGTCGGTAAATTCAGAAACGGTAAACTCAGACATTTCGTATATAATATTATAATAATCTGAATATCACATCCCATGTAGTTACTACACAATGCATCAAATCGGTAAATTCAGACATTTCGTATATCTATATATATAAAGAAATGTTCACTCCCTCTAGCCTATGCCACGTCATTAAATAGAGAAAAGAGGGAGTGACAAGTGTCATCTATCACTAAACCCTCTGCGTTTTGTTACAAAAACATATCATCCGTTTGGGCTTTTGTTTTGTTGCAGCCCATAATATTGATTTACAGCCTGGTCCGTTTAGAAAATCATTACTCTCCCATCTAGGATGCAAATAAAAAACCATTGTTATTTGGTAACGGGAAGTGAGTTTCAACATTTTAGTAAACCGGAGTTTAATTTTTTTGCACTCTATTAACTTGAACTCTGGTATGATACAAAAGACCAATATTGTTCATCAATGAACTATGAATTCTATAAACAAATCAAATTATTTTGAATATTGAAAGAATAAGATTATAAACAAACAAAAACTAAATGATCACAAAATATACATATCTCGGAAAAGCTGCGAAGTGATGAATGCTGATAAAATAATAACAGAAAAGTTGTTTCGCATTATTAAACTTGACCAAGTGTTTGGAAATA